CACACCTTTAATCTCAGCACTAGAGAGGTCGGATAGGAGTGATATGTTGGGGTAGAGTGAGGAATCTAAAGCAGGAGACAGTAATAGAGCAGTCTGAGATTTGGTGGGGACACTTGTAGTCTGAGGATCAACCCTGCGGTCAAGGATGAAGTCTCAGGAGAGAGTCTAAAAACAGGATCACCCCTTTGGTTTGAGAATTGGTAGAAGCAAAAGAATTCTCTAGTAGCTGGTTGCTCTGCCTCTCTGATCTTTAGCATTAACCCCTATATCTGACTCTGAATTTTAATTATTAATAGCAACTAGAATCCATGCTACTGCTCTCAGATTTAACTAGTAATATATGATGAGATAACTGATTCAGACTTTTAACTTTATGCTATTTCTAGATATTAACACAAGTTTGTAAGAGTCTCAGCTGGTGCAATCCTTATAAACTTGTGGAAGTTTCTCATGTATCGGGCTTCTACCCAACCCTGTAAATTCCCTCTTTTCAGTCATCCCAGTACTCTCCCACCGCCCACTCCCAACCCTATCCCACAAGTTCCCATGTTTGCCAGCCCCCCAGTCCACCCAGGAGATCTCTTCTATTTCCCTTCCCAAGGAGATCCATATGTTCACCCCTTGGGCCCTCCTTGCTATGTAGCTTTTCTGGGGTTGTGGACTGTAGCATGGTTATCCTTTACTTTACAGTATATCTATTTATAAGTGAATACATACCATGCTTGTATTTGTCTGGGTTACTTCCCTCAGAATGATTTTTTTTCTGCTTCCATCCATTTGCCTTAGTGTCATTGTTTTTGACAGCCAAGGAATACTCCATTGTATAAAATCACCATATTTTCTTTATCCATTCTTCAGTTGAGGAGCATTGAGGTTGTTTCCAGTTTCTGGCTACAAATAAAACTGCTACTATGATCAGGTGTCCTTGTGGTATGACTGAGTATCTCTTGGGTATATGCCAAAAAGTGATCTAGTTGGGTCTTGAGGTAGATATATTGCCTATATTCTGAGGAATACTGTATTGATTTCCAAAGACTCCTGGAAGCAGTGGATGCATAGCCTGAACTGTCTATCCCCTGTAATCAGATTGGTGACAACCCCAGGTGTCACCAGAGAGTCTTCATCTAGTGACTGATAAAGGCAGATTCTGGGACCCAAAGCCAAACATTGGAAACTCACACATTCTGAACCAACAATAAGGGTGCCTACACAGGACTTATCAAGGCCCTTTACATATATGAGAAAGTTGTGTAACTCGGTCAATTTGTGGGACTCTGGTTATGGGAGCAGGGGCTATCCCCAGTGCTTTGACTGGCGCTTGAGAACATATTACTCATGCTGGATTGCCTTGCCCAAACTGAATATAGGGAGAAGTGCTTGGTCTTATGGCATCTTGATAGGCCATGCTTTGCTGACATACAGGAGAGGTCTGTCCTTTATGAGCAAATGCAGAGCAGGAGTGGATGAGGGGTGTGGAAGGGAGGAAGGGGGAGAGAGTGAGAGGAGAAGAGGGATGAGAGGTTGTGGTCAGGATGTAAAATAAATTAATTAATTAACCAAGAAGTCTGGAAGATCTTCTGTATTTTTATTATGTTTAATTTGAATTGTATTTCTTTTTTTAATTTTTTAATATAATTTTTATTGAAAAAAAATTTCTGCCTCCTCCCCGCCTCCCATTTCCCTCCCCATCTTCCTTTTCCTTCCCCCTCATCCCTCTCCTCTCCCCCTCCCTCTCCAGTCTGAAGGGCAGTCAGGGTTCCCTGCACTGTGGAAAGTCCAAAGTCCTCCCCGCTCCATCCTGGTCTAGGAAGGTGAACATCCAAACTGGCTAGGCTCCCACAAAGCCAGGACATGAAGTAGGATCAAAACCCAGTGCCATTGTCCTTGGCTTCTCAGCAGCCCTCATTGTCCGCCATATTCAGAGAGTCCGGTTTTATCCCATGCTTTTTCAGTCGCAGTCCAGTTGGCCTTGGTGAGCTCACAATAGATCAGCCCCACTGTCTCCGTGGGTGGGTGCACCCCTCGTGGTCCTGACTTCTTTGCTCATATTTTCCCTCCTTCTGCTCCTCCTTGGGACATTGGGAGCTCAGTCCGGTGCTCCAGTGTGGGTCTCTGTCTCTATCTCCATCCATCTCCAGATGAAGGTTCTATGGTGATATGCAAGATATTCATCAGTATGGCTATAGGATAGGGTCATTTCAGGTTCTCTGTCCTCAGCTGCCCCAGGAACTAACTGGGGACATCGCCCTGGGCACCTGGGAGCACCAAATCTCTTGCCAACCCTAAGATGGCTCCCTTAATTAAGATGTGTGCTTCCCTGCTCCCCTATCCGACCTTCCTTTATCCCAAACATCCCGTTTCCCAAGTTCCCCCCAACCTCCCCTTCTCACTTTTCTCTCCCCATCTCCCCTTACCTCCCTCCCCCCCCCCCCCCAAGATCCCATTTTTTGCCCGGCAATCTTGTCTACTTCCCATAATCAGGAGGATAGCTATATGTTTTTCTTTGGGATCACCTTCTTATTTAGCTTCTTTAGGAGATCAAATTATAGACTCACTGACCTTTATTTATCTCTAGAAACCAATTATGAGTGAGTACATCCCAAGTTCATCTTTTTGGGTCTGGGTTACCTCACTCAGGATAGTGTGTTCTATTTCCATCCATTTGCATGCAAAATTCGAGAAGTCATTGTTTTTTACCGCTGAGTAGTATTCTAATGTGTATATATTCCACACTTTCTTCATCCATTCTTCCATTGAAGGACATCTAGGTTGTTTCCAGGTTCTGGCTATTACAAATAATGCTGCTATGAACATAGTTGAACAAATGCCCCTGTCATATGATCGGGCCTCTCTTGGGTATATTCCCAAGAGTGGCATTGCTGGGTCCAGGGGTAGGTTGATCCCGAATTTCCTGAGAAACCGCCACACTGCTTTCCAAAGTGGTTGCACAAGTTTGCATTCCCACCAGCAATGGATGAGGGTACCCCTTTCTCCACAACCTCTCCAGCAAAGGATATCATTGGTGTTTTTGATTTTAGCCATTCTGACAGGTGTAAGATGATATCTCAAAGTTGTTTTGATTTGCATTTCCCTGATCGCTAAGGAGGTTGAGCATATCCTTAAGTGTCTTTTAGCCATTTGAATTTCATCTGTTGAGAATTCTCTGTTCAGGTCAGTGCCCCATTTTTTAATTGGGTTAATTAGCATTTTAACGTCTAGTTTCTTGAGTTCTTTATATATTTTGGAGATCAGACCTTTGTCTGTTGCGGGGGTGGTGAAGATCTTCTCCCAGTCAGTGGGTTGCCTTTTTGTCTTAGTGACAGTGTCCTTTGCTTTGCAGAAGCTTCTCAGTTTCAGTAGGTCCCATTTATTCAATGTTGCCCTTAATGTCTGTGCTGCTGGGGTTATACATAGGAAGCGATCGCCTGTGCCCATCTGTTGTAGGGTACTTCCCACTTTCTCTTCTATCAGGTTCAGTGTGTTCAGATTGATATTGAGGTCTTTGATCCATTTGGACTTGAGTTTTGTGCATGGTGATAGATATGGGTCTATTTTCATTCTTCTACAGGTTGACATCCCGTTTGTGCCAGCACCATTTGTTGAAGATGCTTTCTTTCTTCCTTTATCAAAAATGAGGTGTTCATAGGTTTGTGGGTTAAAATCTGGATCTTCTATACGATTCCATTGGTCAACTTCTCTGTTTTTATGCCAATACCAAGCTGTTTTCAATACTGAAGCTATGTAATAGAGTTTGAAGTCAGGGATGGTAATGCCTCCTGAAGTTCCTTTATTGTATAAGATTGTTTTGGATATCCTGGGTTTTTTGTTTTTCCATATAAAGTTGATTATTGTCCTCTCGATATCTGTGAAGAATTTTGATGGGACCTTGATGGGGATTGAATTGTATTTCTTTAAGCTTCATAGTATGTGTGTGTTCATGCGCCTGTGTGTGTGTGTGTGTGTGTGTGTGTGTGTGTGTGTGTGTGTGTGTGTACAATGTCATTCAGGTGCCTGCAGAAGACAGAAGAGGGCATAAGAGCCCATGTAGTTGAAGTTGCAAATGGTTGTAAGTCATCATCTGAATTATAGTAATCAAACAGGGGTCCTCTGAAAGATCAGTCAGTGCTCTTCATGGCTGAACTAACTTTCCAGCCCTTATATTTGAATTTTAGAATTTGCTATTATGGATGATTCTGTTGCCAAGAGAGATCTTTAAAAATTAAAGTGAAAATAAAATTCAAAAATACAGTTTGGTATATGTTTCAACATTTAAGAAATTAAGATTGTAAATAGATGTAAATACGCATACACACATATACATATATACATTATATATTTTATAGGTTCCTAAAAACATACCTGACTTCAAAATAGAATAATAAAGGTATATTATAGCCTTGTTTTAAAATGAACCCCTGGCAGTTTGACTTTAGATTGAAAAATAAAGTAAATATTCTATCATTTACAGGAAACATGAGGGGGAAAACAACTTAAACAACTGTTGGGAGCCACAGGACTGGCAGCAGAAGGATTTAAGTGCTGGAGGGAAGAACTCAGGGGCTGTCTGCTGCACGAGATTTAGACGGTTAATGCTGGCAACATACTCAGGAAAACTTACTTAAATTCAGCTAATAAAATTCAGACTCAGCGTTTATCCTCTCGACTAAAGAGATGGTCTTTCTACAGTCCGATATCTCCCTCCCTCTTTTTTCTCCCGTTCCCTTAGCCCTCCAGTTTTGCTTCTCTTCTCCTTCCTCGCCATCCCCTTTTCTCTCTCTCCTATGTAAAGACATCCACTTTCCTGGTTTGAGTGCTGTTGTTTCCTCCTCTCCCTACAGTGCTCTCCCTTCTAACATTTAAGCTTCCATAAATAAAGAATAGTTTTATTAAATATGAACACTAGAATGAAGAAACAAAGCTCAACCTTTAGAACAATATTAATTTCTTCTTCCTGGTGTGGGGACAAATGGTGAAAGTCATTGTAAATTACAAAACTAGTGTCTTTTCTTAAAATTACATTTTTTATTTGTGATTATACATGTCACAGAACACCTGTGGAGGCTAGAGGATAACTTGATGGAATTGGTTTTCTTCTTCCAGGTAATGGCTTGTTTGCAAGCATCTGTACTTGATGATCCCTGGTTTATTTCTTTATAATTCTACAATTTCACCACACACATTGTGCATCTATGTATGTATGTGTAGTAGTTTTTACATACTAACAATATAACATCTCGGAAGTGACCTGATAGAAAATGATTTTGAATAGGTATTTATAGACGACAAGCTACACCTCCAGTCAACTAAAGAAAAACAACAAACAGAAAGCCAGAGGTGGTATGAATGTCTGGGGTGTGGCAGGTTACAAAACAAATCTACTTGCTAATGTACATGGATGAGAAGCTGTGAAAGCAAAGTAGAAAAGAAAATTATTCAGTTAAATGTATTAGAACAGTGTTCTCAACCTTCAGATTGCAAAACCTTTGGGGTTTGAATGACCCTTTTCATGAGTTGCCTAAGACCATCAGAAAACTCAGATATATATTTTATGATTCATAACAGTAGCAAAATTACAGTTATAAAGTAGCAATAAAAATAATTTTATGATTACGGTTCACCACAGCATGAGGAACTGTATTAAAGGGTATCAGAATTAAAAAGTTTGAGAACCACTGTGTTAGAGGCATCCTGAGAATGTGGGGCCTATGACAGACTTGGAGCAGGAGACAGTGACCTTCTGCATGACAAGGAAATGGAGTTAAGTGCATGAGCAATGTGAGGGCAGAGAAAAGGTGTGTGCGGTTCATGATATACCCCTGCTCTAGAACCACATGCCCACCTAATGACAATTTAGTACTTCTCTCTATTCACTCAGCTGTTTCTCCATCTACAAGGACTGTACCCTCAACACTCTTTTTAACTCATAGAGGCTCATAATTCCATTGGTTCCAAGTACAGGGCATGGGGACATGAGCCAGCCTGGCAACCATTCTCTGTACAGTGAAGTTAGCTTTATCCACATGTGCATACATGGGGAAGCCAAGATCATTTATAGTCTGAATCTGGTGGAAGGCAACATGGTAAATGAGACCCTGGTTCCGGTACTGAGGCAAGGTGCCTCCCATTCTCAATTCTCCAGTGTGGTCCATCAGGCCCCAGGACACGGGAATCCCCTCAGGTCCCATAATACAGGAGCTGGGGAAGGTGTGGATACAGCGCTCAATGAACTTCTGACTTTTCTCATTGCCACCAAAATGCCAGATGCTATTCACCAACGCAGCATGTGTAACATCAAGGGAGGTGAATTTGAACAATTCTTGATTACTGTTGGAAACAAGAGGAAAGAGCAGCTGTTAGTCACATAGATTATGAATAATTTTATTTATTTTCCCCTAAATTGCCCCAAGAGGCAAAAAGTAGAATCACTAAGACTGTGTGCTCTGTAGCCAGACTGGATGAGCATTTATCAACACTGGGTGCATGAAGTGTTGATTAATTGTTCTTCACCTTTTGAGTTTCCCCATCTAGTGAGTAAGGCTAATAAGCAACTTGCAATGGTGTGGGAGGCTTCCGGAGTCAATTTGGGATGAGCTCTGGAGATGGAGCTAGACATTCTTCAACTCTGGCCCACTCATCCACAGGCTAAGCAAACTATTCCACCACTAGATTCTGCTTTCTGTCAAGAGATTGGGCTAACTGTTAGCTCACAGTAGAACAAAAGTTCCTAGTAGCTTCTAGATAGGACTGTTCTCCAGGTTTCCATGTAGTATACAGGAGAACAGGGTACTTCCAGGAGGGAACTTCCACAAAGGTCTTTAGATTGAGCATCCTCAAGTCACATACTCGCTGCAGGCCTCTGGTTCTTTTCAGCATTACGTTAAACATAAATGGAGACAATGTAAAATGTGTTCAAAATAGTTTTATTAGGATTCAGTTGTTGCATGAAGAGAATTCACTGAACACATATTGGTTTGAAACCCACTGTGTGACAGCTCCTGATGATTCTAAGTCTTGCTGGGTTTTCATTATTGGTAGAGGATAAATCAAATATCAAATCTGTAGAATAAATTAACTAGTTTCAAATACTCATGAGTGATATGTATCCTGCACAATGGTGACTTTTATTGAACTGCTTTACCCAGGACTCTGATGAAGTAACTTGTGAACTGATATGGATAACAAAGTAAGTAATTAGTGTTCAGACACATCTGCATAGGAGAGAAGTTTTAGACAGAGGAGAGCTGATTTTGGAGACCTGAGCTCATGAAGGTCAAGTAGAATTGCATTAAAGCTATGGCATAGCATCAGTACCTTCTGCATTTAGCTCCAACACTAGAAACAATATGAAATCATTTCCATAAATGCTTCATGTCACCTAACCAATATTACAGTGTTAATTGACTTTCTGAGAGAGAGAAGGAAAAAGCAAGAGAGTGAGCTAGTGAGTGAGCAAATAAAGAGAGATAGAGAATTTGAATGAGGCTCCTTTTCCTCTAAATCTAACCAAAATAATTAACATGAAGTAAACTGATGTGAACCAATCTGTCAAATTCTAATGTGTGCCTTCCTTTTCTATTTTATGTGGGGAATAACACTGAAATGACAAAAGTTTGCTTGTGTTATTTTAGCTTAGCTCAGTCTATAAAATCAACCTCTTTCTCTTTAGGCTACATCCATGAGAACACTAGTTTGAAAGAATGGCTCAACCTTTGACTTTAGACTCATGTCTAAAAGACAGGTTATGTTTTAAAAATAAAGTTGTAGTATTTTTAAAAATGGCTGGAAGTTTTGAAGGGAAGAAACAAGATAAGGCCTGAGAAGTTGATAAAAATCTCCTGTTAGAGGGATGAGAAGTTCAGAAAGATTAGAAAGCATGTCAGAAAGCTTTCAATTCTTGTTAGCAGGAGAGAGACGTGATCCTTATTTAAATTTTATTGTAATTAGAAAGCTACTCTGCAGAATATGGTTGGATAGGTACCAGGGCAAAAGCTAGCAGAGGTAGTGGGGGCACGGCTAGTTAAAAGGTAACCTACATTCAGCTTGTATAGGCAAATAAAATTTTTAATTGCATGCATGTATATGTATGTGTATATTATGGGTGTTACATGTTCATGTATGAAAATCAGAATACTAATTTTGGGTGTTGGTTATCTTCCTCATCATGTAGGCCCCAGGGATTGAATTCAGGTTGGCTACTTCTTAGCAAACACCTTTAGCTGCTGAGACTTCTTGATAGTTCTTTATGCAGATAAAATGGTTTAAAAAAGGATTTTTGAACATCAAGTCTAATACTTTTAATATAAGCTTATTTAAGTTATTCTGTGGGTCCCAAATCTATTGATAAGTGTCATCACAACAAATAAAAGAGAAAAAGACACAGAGGACGAAGAAGGTCATATGAAAGTGAGTTTAGTGAGTGGAGCATTGCTGCCCAAGGCCAAGGTACTCCTGGAATGACAATGTGTGTGGGAAAAGAACATAAGGAATTCTATCCTGTGGATTCCAATGCAGCACGGCCTTGGTCAGATCTTGATTTCTACCTTCTAGACTCCAAAACAATGTGCTTTGATTTTATCCCTATCCTTTAAGGTGGCCTTCTAACGATCACTTCAGAAATCTAACACAGGAGGCATGTCATTAGTAAGACAGTGATTGGTGCAGAACAGCTTTGAAACACTTACATGGGCCTGGTATTGTCACTGCTGCGTACTAAGTTATTCCCATCCACCAAGGAAGGAGCCAATTTCTTTGCTGTTTCAAGTATCATATAGAGAATGCACTGTGTATGTTTGACCTTGCCTGAATTAATGGCTCCAAGAGTTTCTATCACTTTGTCCAGGCTTGACTGTGAACCTTGATGGGGAGACAGGGCAGCAAATGATATACCATTATTCATCTTAACATTTGGGAAAGGCTATTCAGTGGTATCAAAGGAGATATGAACATAGAATCATCAAGTCTTATGTTAAATCATGACCAGCTTCATATGATAAAGTTTATATCCCTCTCTTTTTCTAAATTTAAGTTTTGGATGGTATCACAAACCTTAAATACTTAAGAGTACAGTTTTATTCAGGAGTTTTGAAACTAGAGAGAAACATGGTGCCAGGGAAGCTCCCAGAAAAACACAAGGATGACCCCAGCTAAGACCCCCAGCAAGAGTGCAATTGATGCCTGAACTAGGCTTCCCCTGTAATCAGACTGGTGACTTCCCTCGTAGTCATCATAGAGACTTCATCCAGTAACTGATGGAAACAAATGCAGAGGTCCAAAGCCAAGATCCAGTAGCCCAGCTGGAGAAGGATGAGGGATTATATGAGCAAGGAGCTTCAAGATCATGATGGGAAACCACAGAAACAAGTTACCTGAGTTTGTGGGTGCTCAGGACTTCGAAAAGGCAGTTAGACCGCCTGCATTAAACTGACCTCAGCGTTCTGCATCTGGGTGAGAGATGTGTAGCTTGGTCTGTTTGTGGGCCCATAGCTGTGGGGCCAGAACCTGTCCCTGATGTATGAGCTGGCTCTTTGGAACCTATTCTCTATGGTGGGATGCCTTACCCATCCAAGATGCAGTGGGGAGGATCTTGGTCCTGCTTCAATTTGATATGCCCTGCTTTGTTGATTCCCATGGGAGGACTTACCCCTTCTGAATGAATACTGAGAAGAAGTGGATTGTTGGTGTTGTAGAAGGAATATAGGGGAGGGAATGAGAAGAGAGGAGGAAGGGGAAACGGGTTGGTAGGGTAAATTTAAAAAAAAAAAGTACACTTATGCTACCAAACAAGGTGAGTTAGCAATATGGTTACTGAAATTAAAGGGACATTTCTATGTACACAATCCATTAAATTGTCAGTATAAGGTTCTCAGTACCTATCTATTGCACTAATATGACTCCCTTAACCCTTAATTACTTCGCTTCAGTCATAAAACTTGCTTGGGTTTGTGGTAAGAATGTGATTTAGTAAACATAGTTCAAAGAGTGCACTGAAGTTTACTTTTACTTTCTGTTCCTGATCCTGTGATTTTTTTTCTTTTCACTCAATCCACTTCCATCCCTGAGGTTAAGAGTTGGCACAGTGTTATTATGAAATGCCAGACTTGGGATCACAGTGAGCAATTTCTATGAGCTCATCATTACCCTCCCGACAACTGACCTCATATGTGTGAATCCAGGTGAGACTAGCAGAGCTGCCTAGTGGAGGTCGATCCAAATTTCCTACCCATGCAATTGTAAGCTAAAATAATTGTTTTAATTGATATTGAAAAGTTGAGCTGGGCAGTGGTTGTGCATGCCTTTTATCCCAGCACTCGGTAGGCAAAGGCAGGAGAATCTCTGTGAGTTTGAGACCAGACTGGTGTACAAGAGCCAGTTCCAAGACAGGCTCCTGTATCTGAAAAAAAAAAAAAAGAAAAAAAGAAAAGAAAGAATAATAAGAATTTGAAATTCTCTAAAACTAGATAGAATATTACTGAGAAGTATAATTTAAATGTCTCATTTAGTCCTTAAGGACTCTATGTTTGGAATAGTATTATAATCATTTTTTTCTCACATATCTTTAGTCTCCAAAACAGAAATTACTCAGCCCTTCCCAAATAGCTCACAATTGGTTCAATCAGGATTCAATCTTAGACAATACCTCTTTAGAAGGCATAGTCTTAGTTACTAAAATATTCCTTTGAAAATGTGACAATATAATAAAACAGAGATGGCATGGGAGGTTACATTGCCCCCATGTTTATGTTCTTTAGTAAAATATGGGCATGTTAAAGAAGAAATATTAAGTCCTAAGGCAGTAAGAGACTACATTAAAATTTCCTTTGTACACTTTACATTCTACAGCCCTTGAGAGTTCCGCTTGCAGGTGGTAGATGCTGAGCCTAGAAACAGATAACAGCATGCTAATTGTCTATAACTTGCAAAAATGTGTGTGGGATATAAGGTGTTATTCAAGAGGAACAGTGACTTCCACCATGTGTACACAGGAGGTAACAACAGCCACATATACCATGGCTCTCTTACTTTGAATCTGTAGATGCTGTTTCCAGTTAATGACTTCTGATGAGCTGAGGAACTTCTGACAATTCTCAGGATCCTTAGAGTAGATTAGGTAAGTGTTGGTGTAGTGGTCCAGGTCATCGTCCATGTCCTGTTTTCAAAAATAATAAACCAAAATGTTTATGGATGGGTTGGTGTTTGGTTATATTGGTATTCAGTATTTAGTTACATTGTGAGAAATTAAAATTCTAAAAGTAATGGATCCTGTGGATTTATGTTGTAATTATTTACAGTACAAAAACAAGAAGAAAAGACTTGACTCAATTGAAAGTAAAATCAACCTGAAAAACATTACCCATAGTCAAGGGAAAGTAGAGTGCTATAAAATTCATTTAGAAGAATCAAAATAACAAAATAAAAGAAAAACATTTTGCTAAAAGAATACTCCTTGCTCTGGCCTATGAATACTCTGGTATTAAAGTCTATAGTGAAAACAGAATCAGAATATGACCCCACAAATAGGGAAGCATTGCTAATGCTAGTAAGGTAGGTAATCCTTCAAAAATAGCTTATTATTGTTTAGTAAATGACAACCTCATAAAGCCAGTAAATGAGCATATATATATATGTATATGTATATATATGTATATATACACACATAGAACAAGTTTACAAACTCAAAATGGGACTACTTAATTATCAAAGAATATATTGCAGAAATATTACTTCTACTAATATATAATCTGAATGCTTTTACTCCTCAAATTTTGCTGAAGTATTAACTAAAATGTTGTATACTGTATAATGACACAGCAGATCAAATTATTAATTTTCTTGTTCTGCCTTATTAAATATTTAAGTCATCGTCAACATTCATGTTGGCAAATTTTTCCACTTGGTATTGAGAATAAACTCTAATTCTCTCCCTGTAACATCAACCACCCTAACCATTCTTTTTTTCTACCTTCTTTTATTGTCTTTGCTATAGATAACTGATATAGAAAGCAGAGCAGCATCTCAATGGGAAGCTGATATCAGAATGAAAATTTATGATGGA